CTTTCCAAGAACTATCTAGCAGAGCAGTAAATGGCAGGCACTGTGTAAGTCCATTCAAAGAGGAACAAAATAACTTTTTTCCTTAAAGTTTAGGAGCCAGATGTATATAAAACTGTCAGACCTTATAAAGTTCCACAAAAAGTGGTCAGTTCAGGAGTCTAAGCGAAGGGCACATAAATTGACTTTGCCTGGTAGTCAAGCCAGGCTTCTCCGGAGAAACAACACTTGCCTGAGTGGGGAGGAAGCACACAGCCTGCCAAAGGTTCAGCACACACTCCTGGTCTTCTGCTGAGGTGGTGAGGGCAGTCAACCTAAGTCCCACGAGAGCTACTTTAAGAACTACAATAACTTACTGTTTGTGGAAGCAATCTGAACTGAAAAGGGTTGAATAAATTTAAGCTATCGTTTATTTGTAAGCATCTCCTATTTACCTTTTGAGTTTAATTGGGTAAAGGAATTACTAGATCCATTTTAAGAACCATACAATAGATAAATATATGGTCCAAGAGTAAAAAACTGTGGCCAAATGTAGGTTTTATGATTTACTGCTCAATTTCTCTGTACACACATTGCCCCCAGGAACACACACAGGACTCCCCAAGGTAAATAGCTTAAAAGTAGGGAGTTCAGAGTCACAGTTAAAATATACACTCCTAATAATTTCTCCTTATATATTTTAAAATTATTTATTTATGCACACAAGAACTGGGGTGTAGGCCAGAGGTGCAAGGGGTGAGAGGACTTACAAGCGACAGAGAGAGGAGTAGGACAGGCAGGTCTACTGAAGAACACTGCTGAGGGGAGAATGGGCAAGGGGAGAGGTCTGCTGCACCATGTGCCTCAGCGCTGCACCATGTGCGTCAGCTCTCTGGCTGGGGTTTGAACTTGTGCTCAGTGGCTAACGGCATAGCTTGACAGCACTGTGTCTTTAACCCCTGTGCCACCAGGGAGGCCCCTAATTTCTCATTTTATTGGTAGCAACTTCCTAAAATTATAAAACCTGTGCTATCTCTATTTGTAGGCATGACGCAAAAGATTTTCCATTTTCTCCTCAGCACCAATAAATTCGCCATTTATACATGCAAATTCTTGATCTCTTTTCAATATTTTTTAAAAAACTCAAATTACTGATATAATAAAAATTATATTGTGACTCATTTCTAGCATGCATATGGAGCAAAAGTCTCAACTGTGTATTTGCAAGGACCAGAGTTTGTCCCTAACATTCATTAGAAATGTGACTGTCCTGCCACAGGGAGATGGCAGCAAGAAGAGGGTGTAAGTGGTGAGGAGAAATGGTAAAGGAAGAACAGGGCTGTGATGTGTGAATGAATCAGTGAATCTTCTGCTCAAAACAGACAATTTTAAAAAAGTAGACAAAATTATTAGTCACTTCTGAGCCCTAGAAATCAATCAAAGGCAGAAAATAAAGAAAAATTTCTTGGAAAACGACTTCGAGCTTCGGGTAAAACCAGTAGGAGTCTACAAAATTACTGCAGGGCTACTCCAACCCCCTGACCTAGCCCCCAGCTGCTGAGAACTTATTTTTATAGGACAGGGTGTGTCCAAGAAAACCTGTAGTTGTACTACCAGAGGGGTAAATGTGGACATTTGGAGGGGTAGAAGGGGCAGCAGAAAACCTGGAGCTGTGTCAGTTGAAGGTGGAGAACGTGGTAGGGGCTTAATGGGAGAAACAGCACTTCTGGTTTGAAGTTGTGATTTGACGAGGGCAAGTGGCTGAGCAGCCAAGGCTTCGAAAGGGAGATCCTGGAAATGAGAGAATTCTAGGAGCACTAGAAATGTATCCCCTCACTCATCCCTGGCTGGCTGCAACTTCATAGGTGAGAAAACGTGAAAGTGCCCAAAAAAGGGAGAAAACCCAAGGCAGGTCTGAGAACTGAGTGAACTCTGGACGTGAACTCTGGACGTGCTTCCCATTAAAGACGGACCGGGGCTGGGGGGAGGAACCTTCCCAAATTCAATGTGCTTAAACACAACCCCTGTCCAAATCACTGGCTGACCACTAAGCTGTGGAGACACAGCAGTGACTCTCTCGGCAAGCTAGAAAGTAAAAAAGAGCAATATCAGTGGCTGGACAACATATGTGCAGTGCCATATGTCTCAGCAAATTACTTAAACCCATATATGCCTCTCAGAAAAATAACTAACACTCTGGAGTGGCTACAGTATATTACTACAATGGTCAATTTATTTAAAAAAATTACTAGACATGCAAACAACTAGTAAAGGATGCCCAGACTAAAATAAATGAATGAATGAATGAATGAATGAATGAATGAATGAATGAATGAATGAATGAATGAATGAATGAATGAATAAAACCAAGCAGTCACTAAAAAACAGATTCTGAGGGGGCCTGGATTGGATTTAGATTTAGCAGACGACATCGAAGGAGTAATTATGAGTATGTTTAAATAACTGAAGGAAATGTGATGCTATGCAAGAAATCTCAATGGACAAACAGAAATCATAAATGAAAATACTAGAGTTGAACTAACTGAAATTAAGAATTTACTGGATGGGCTCCACAGTTGATTTGACTTGGCTGAAGAAAGGTAAGTGAATGGAAATTATATGGCTTACAGAACAGGAAGAAAAAAAGAGAGAGATTAAAAAGAAAATGAATTAAACTTTGGGTTCTACTTAGGTCCAGATTGAAATCAAACCAAACGAACCCAAAACCAAAGCCCAAGTCTGTGGGAACATCAACTTGTTTGCCATCACACTTGTAGGGAAAGACCCAGAAGGAAAGGAGAAAGGAAAAGAACATTTACACAATTGATGTTTAAAAATTTGATGAAAAACATTAATCCCTAGATCAAAAACATTAAGAAATTAAACAACATACATCTATGTAACTCAGGTTAAAAGAAGAAATCATAAAGAAAAAATTTAAAATATACTGAACAGAATGTAATGAAGGCATACTATATCACGTTATGGAATGCAGCTAAAAATAAACACCTACAGGAAAATTTATAATCTTGAACACAAGGGAGAAATTCTAAAAAGTAATCATCTAGGTCTGCAACTCAAGATAAGAAATATAAGAACAATTTGAACCCTATATGAGAAGAAGCAAAGCAATAATAAAGAATGGCAATCAATAAAATACAAAACACCACCACAGATTAAAAAAACTATTGAAGACTAGAAATAGTTTTGGGAAAATTGGCCCAATTAACAAACCTTAGCTAACCAAGAAAAGAAAGGACATAATTATCAAAGTCAAGTATGAAAGAGGGAGTATCACTACAGACCCTACATAAAATTGAAAGAATTACATGGGGTTATTATTGAGTGACTTCATATCAACAAAACAGACCATTTGGATGAGACAGAAAAATTCACAGAGACAAGCTATCAACTGAATTAACAAGAAATACAAAAATAGAAATATAGAAAAAGATAGTATGTAAAGAAATAGTAATTGATACACCTTGATAAAGCCTCATATTTACATTTTATGTCTTCTTTTTCACTTTGTTTGAAACAGCTATTAAGTCTCGGATTCATAGTCATTTAATATTAACTTGGAAATGTAGTCAATATTTATGATTCTAGATTTATGCTATGGCAAGCCATATTTGTTATGTAACATGCTCGGAATTTTTAACTTGTCTACTTATATTTTCCAAAGTATAAAATTATGTGCTTATATATAACTGATCAACACTGAAAAGGTAACATGGATTTATTGATGGTCCAGGACCTAATAAAAGAAAATGGAAAGTATTTGTAGGTTAAACCCATGATTGTGTAGCAAAAGCTTCCAACTGTGAGGTTCTTTATGGGGTGGTCAATCTTATCAACTGGTAAAAGGCTAAATGAAGCTCTCCTGATAATCTGGTACAAGAAAGGCAAAAAGAAATCTAATAAACTACACACAGATCTTTCTATGCATATGCATAATGCTTTTGCCGTGGGATACCACAAAATCTGACATGATTCCCTGTACGTTTACCCCTACATGGTGATACACAGCTATTGTTAACTCGTGACTTTTCATTTACTTTAGCAAGTTAGTAGTAAATGGTGAAGCCAAAGAAGTCGGCTGGGGTCAGGGATCAGTAAACCAGGTAAAGAATTTGGATTTTATTATGTCAGGGAATCATTAAGTAATAAAGTTTACACTATTTTGCACCTGTGGGGTGGGGAATTATCCTGGCTGTTATATGGAGAATGGATAAGTTAGGCAGCCACAGTACAGGAAACAGGTGATGAGGTTTGCACTGAGACATGGCAATGACAACAAACACCTCACGTGAGTGCAGCTCTTCCTGTTTCCCCACAGCCCTTGAAGTAGTTTCACCTATCTTCATTTCACAGCTGAGCAAGACGAGGCAGGGAGGGATTAAATAACTGGTCCATGGTCTGACTCGACCATAGAGGCCACAGAGGCTTAAACCTAAGAAATCTGGCAAAAGAGCTGACTTCTCAATCATGAACACATTTCAGCTCTAGTCCTAAGGTGAACAGTAGAGGGTGAAGTAAGAAGATGTTTTAGAGTTAGGCTCACCAAGACAGGAACTACTGCATTTAACAATTGAACAGAGGAAAAGGAAGCAACCAGAGAGGGAAAGAAAGAACATCCAGTGCTGAGGTAGAAACTGGAGTGTGATGAAAGCCAACTGATGACATATTAAGGAGGGAGGGGAGGCTGGGGCAGAATGCTGCTGTGACTGTCCAGGATGAGAATGGAGAAAGGACCATGAGATTTCACAAAGTGAAGATTTCTGGTGACGCTGAAGAACGCAGTGTCTACGCAAGTTCATTCTCACCCTCTCCTTGCTCTATCATCTACCTCATGTCCAGACAGTAATGAGTTTTAATCCTAAATCCTTATTTAGTAGTTATGAAATTACATAAATGCCACACCATGCAATGAAATGCTACATAAAACAAAGGGTTTTCTGGCACGGTGACTGAGGTGAAGACTTCCACAATGATGGGGGTGGGAGGTGTTCTAAGTCACGTACCGTAAGAGATCCATTCTGCGTGGTGGGTGAATTGCTGCTCTGCTCGCCGTGGGCTTGTGTGCTCCCGTAGAGTGTCAGGTTATGCTCACTGGTCTGGCCGGCATAGTCCTGAGTGTGTGGCACTCCATATTCTGTGGGGATTCCATTCTGCGGAGGTGGCGGAAATGGGATGGTGGTAAAAGGCTGAACCATTGCGTCAGGAGTTGTTGTTGGCTCCTGGTTACCCTAAAACAAACAGTCAGAGGGAGAAAAATGACTTTAAATTCTCATTTCATAACTTTTTTTCATAATTATTATACATATACAAAACGCTGAATATGCTCCCTCTACTCTGGTAAAATGGGCTACTTATTGACGCAGGTTGGGGGGCTACTGTCATGTAAACACACACAGGTGTCAGTATAGAGACACAACCTGACTTTGGTCAGTTCATAATTGTTAGACATGTCCATGACTACAGTAAAGCTCACTAGTTATCAAGAGTCAAAAATTTTGCTTTAAATCAAGTTTTAAAGATGCCAGGAAAGTCGACAGGAATTGTAAACAGTTTGGGCTATTAGTATTTTCTTTAGTGATTATTAGGGAAAACCAAAACAATTTCATTAAACTATAATTCATTTCAACAGGTAGAATGATGCTATAAATTACTAAAGTCAGACAATATTAAGTCTCTAGTTTAAAAGCATAATATTCAAAAGAAAATATATGACTAGAGATTAATCTTTGGATTTCGAGGTAGAGCTTTATGTCTTGGCTATTGGGTTAATAATTTAGAAAATCTGTCCTTTAATTAGAAATAGACAACAAAATCTCAGACCAAAGAAAATGTGAAAGTGTTTTTCGTAATTACTGCTAGCACAAGAAGGCTAACAGCCCAGTAGGGCACCTCGCCACAGGACACCCCTTCCAATGTGCTTATTAGAGATCCAGTGTGATGTCTGAAACATGGACAGTTACCAAGGAAACTGTCAGCGCTTATTCTAGCTCCACAGTTCTCTTACCTTCTCTTCTGTCTTCAAGTTCAGATACAAAAAAAGGAGCTTTAAGTCTTGTGCAACAGATTTTGCAAAGCCCTCTCACCTTCCCTTCATCTCAACAAGTTGACCACCTGGGGTTCCATTTTATTCTATGAAATGCAAAGACATTGTTTTTCTGGAGATGCAGTCTGCTAAGTCTTGAGTTGCTGTCTCTCAGAACATAGTCAGCAACATAGTCAGCAGATATAACCAGAAGTTTCTAAATGTTGGTGCTTTGATAAGCTTTTTCCTTCATATCAAGCATCAACACATATGGTAGGGATTAAGGAAAATCTTGAGTTTTCGTTTCCTGGCTTCCTCCTAATCACCAGCAATCAATCCTTTTTCTTTCAGTCTCTCTCAAGTCAAGAGGGGATTTACCACTGAGGCTGAGGACACTGAACGTCACCAGCACTTTCTAAACAAATGTTTCTCAGCATCAACCTAAGGTCAAACTATCTCCAACAAAATGAACTCAAAGCTGCAGAAAGACCTCACACTATTTTTTTTTTTAAAGATTCATTTATTTGTACATACAGAACTGGGGTACAGGCCAGAGGCTCAGGGGTGGCGAGAGGTTTCACCAGAGACAGAGTGGGGAGCAGAACAGGCAGAAAGACAAAGTACACTGCTGAGGGGAGCAGCGGGCGGGTCAGGAGAAGTCTGCCGCGCCATGTGGTCACCTCCAGGGCAGGCAGGAATCGAACTCATGGGGAAGTGGCTTTAGCTTCTCAGTGTTGTGCTTTAACCCGCTGCACCACCAGGGAGGGCCCGATCTCACACTATTTTTAAGGAGGGTTCAATCACCGTCACTACAATCAGTTGTTCTTCATTAAATAAAAAAAGAAATTTACAAAGGCTATGATAAGCAGACTGAAAACCATTCTTGAGGTGGCCATACACACTAAGCCCCACAAACCATAATCAAAATCTCAGCAGGTGTTTCTGTAAAAATCAACATTACTGAAACTTATATGGAAATGCAAAGGACCTAGACTAGGTGGAACATTCCTGAAAAAAAAAATCAAAATCAGAGGACTTACACAACCTGATTTCAAGAATGACTATAAAAATATGGTAACCACAACAGCATGGTGCTAGACTAAGGA